GACACCAAATGAAAACAACATCTGAAATGTGAACTTGGCACAAGAACAAAAGGAGTGAAGTTATGAAAGCCAGGATTTGGAAAGTGCCATAATCATTTATAATAGCAGCAACTGTCCTGGATTCCCCTCATCAGAAATAACATGGAGGCAGGCTACCAGCCCTCAGTTTCTGGATCTTACAGTGCATCCCAAGGGTGTAATGGTGTAATGGAAAGCAATAGTGGTGGAGTCAGAAAGCCTGGTTCCTAGGTCCGTTTCTGCCCCAGCCCAGTTATGGAACTGTGGGCATGTCACTAACAGAGGTGGAAAAAGTCTCAGAAGTTTTAGGAATCTAGATGACCTAGGGGCCATATAATTTATACCTACACTCTTAGACGTAGACTATTCATTTTGGTAGGGGGGAGGCTGGGAAAGGAGGGAAGGCAGGAGAAAATATTGGGTTTATTTTAAGGATCTTACATAGAAGATATGGAAATAAAAAACAGAATCACCCTAAGAAGGGTTGAGAAATACAGAAGAAAGAGATCTAACCTTACCTTCAGGAAATTTACAAAGTTCCTTGAGATAAAATAAAGAAGTGGGAATTAATCAAATTTTCTTTGGTTTGGTTTCTTTCTCTTCCACATTTATATATTCCCTATGCAATATACCCATAAAATGCCTTCCTACCTCTATTTGAATGTTTCCCATCAAATGGAGTTTACTCCTCCACAAACCAGCCCATTTTATTATTAGAAAATAAACCTTATGAACTGACTCTATACTTAAGTGCTGCACAGAGGAAGCCAGATCCCACATAGTGGACTAGGGTTCAAATCCCAGCTCTGGTGGCTTGAAAAACACAGGTGTACGAACACACCTATGATCCTGATAAGATGGTAAATTAGAATTAAAAAGATTATATAGCATGACCAGTTCCCTCTGGGGGCTTTCTACCCATCTCCCTCTCATTTATGTATACACACATGCACTCTAGCATAAAAAAAGAAAAAGAAAGAAAGGAAGAAGGAAAAAGAAAAAAGAAAGACAGACAGACTTTAATAAATTTCTTATAAAGTGAAAATAAATTTCCTTCATACATGTGGCCCTGGTTCTACTGTCTAGTTTCACAAAAATATGCTAACCCCTTTTCTTTAACAGGAGTATTAAATAGTTGAAAATGGCTACTCTACTCTAGCCCTACCACCCATTCTCCAGCCAGGTTAAATACCCACACTTCTCTCAACTCTTCCTCATCTGCCATGGTTTCCAGACTGTTCATTAGTTAAGTTTCCTTCTTGAGTCTGGTTTGGCAGAGAAGCTCTCAACATATGGCACCAAAAATGGAACAAAAACAACAACTTTTATTGAGTTCCTTCTCTGCTACAGACTAATATTTTTCTTGATCTTGACTGAACTTCAATTAATGTACACTAAAAAGAAATTAGATTAACATATTTTAGTCCAATTTATACCAACAGGACAAAAATGAGACCAGATTCTGTTATCCAAATGATCAGTTTATTCCTCTGCTGCCAGTTCTGTAGACATGGTGGTACAGTGGGACAATCAAAATTTTGGGGCCAGACCAGAAGATGGCATGTGGGTTATGTCGCTGGACTCCCATATAGTTGACCACGGTTCAAGTTCCAGACCTGGGAGCTTAAAACTCACACTGAGCATGTGTGTGTGTGCCCAAAATCCCAAGAGGAGAACAGAGCAGAAGAGATTAAAATATGGTCATCTTCCCTGGGGGGAGAGTTCTCACTTTCTGTTCTCTATTTCTCTGGCGAGTGCACACACCCTATAGTACTGAGTGCACTAGCCACTTACTAGCTTAAATGACCTTAAATTGGAAAACACCATTTCTCTTCCAACTTTTCACCCAAATCTCTGATAAAAATAATTTTAAAGGGGTCAAGTGGTGGTACAGTGAGTAACATAACTGGACCCATGTGGAAAGGTCCTCAGTTCATATTCTAGGACCTCTCTCAGTACCTCTGTTTGCATAGACATAATCCAGGACAGCTAAGCATGTGAAGACCCTGTTGAGAGTACTGTTTCTCTTTCTCTCTCAGAAGAAATAAATGAATAAACTGTAAAAATAAAAATGAGAAGCTTTTAAATGCAAAGCCAGAAGATTGCCACTAGATTGACAACAATCCACCAATCCAATTAAAGAGTGATTACTCATTATGTTTCAGGAATGGCAGATGAGATGGTCTAGCTGGTAAAGGAAAGGGCACGAGGCTCACTAACCCTATGCCGGGTATTACTACATTTCATAACAATTTTTTGAGAGATGTTTGCCATAGGGTGTAAGCACTTACTGGTGAGACAGAGAGACAGAAAGCAAGAAATCACTCCCTTGGGAGATGGCCATGCCACAATCCTTCCTCCTCTATTCTCCTCTCGGGATTTTGGGCACCCACACACATGCACCTAGCATGAGTTTTGGGCTGCCCAGTCCAGGGCTCGAACTGCTGTCAACTACATGGGAGTCCAGCAATTTAAGCATTATGCCATCTGCTGATTCTTCTTAACAATCTTATGAGATAGTTATATAGTGTTCATAGAGAAAGAAATCTTGGTATTAAATCAGCAATGTTTCTAAGACCACTCAGGTAACAGTGGAGGATATAGTCATGTCTCACTGCTGATACTGGCCATTATGTAGTGAGACAGCACCCTTGTGTTGTCAAGGTGGGTTGGTGGGCTAGGAGAGGCAGAAAAGAGTGTGCACAGTGGCAAGTAGGGTGAAGCCAGAAGTAAAGCGAGGAAGATATTGTTGAGGCCAAATTGCAAAGAGTCTTGAATCCCACACTAAAGAATTTGGAGTTCGATCCATAGGGTATTAAACATCAATCCCTACTGGGGATTAGTAAATCTTAGAAATAATTTCACAGATAAGTGCTTTGGAGACAAATAAAGCAATGTAAGTGGAGTGTAAGTTGATGTTATTTTAAATAGGATAGACAGGGAAGGCTTCTGAAGAGAAGTGATTTAAGGTAGGAAGAAAATGATACAAATATCTCAGAGCAGAGCATTTCAGACTAGAAGACTGAATACCCTTGACATATTCGTGTTGAGAAATATGAAAAAAGTCAATTAGGCTGGAAAATAATTAGCAAGGAAAAAAGAGGTAATAAATAAAGACTGAGAGATGGCAAGAGCCAGAACATACTGTGTTTCGGGTTTTATTCTTAGTGTAATGAGAAGCCACCAAATAGGGTTTAGGGCAGAGTAGGAAGTAATAGGATTCGACTTAAATTTTTTTAAAATACTTTACTGAAATCATAGTACATTTAACTTTATGGGTCCCTAAAATACCAGTCCATTACTATCAAAAAAAGAGAGATTAGTTTGGCACACTTATTCTCAGTAAACCCATGTTGGCTTCTAATTCTCAGCTAAGTGCTCATAAACCAAGCATTACTAATCTGTTGTAGAATTTTGCCAGTCACTTGGTTTGAGTATACATCATTCCTCCCTGACCCCAAATTCTTCTTAGAAATCTGTGATGACATTTTCTCTTCTCTCATCTTGCGAAGAACGGGTAATTAATCGACAGACTGTGTGGCACTAAATGAATATGGAAAAGGAACTCGAAAAGGCAGTGGTGGTGGAGAAAGAGAGGAGGGAGAAGGAAGGGGAAAAAAAAGAAGAAATAAAAACAAAAGGATTTGGAGAGATGGGAAAGAGAAAAAAGGTTTCCTAGGTGGGTTCATGAGACACATGAAGGGGCGAAACTGCAAGGGAGGAAAAGCAAGACTATATACACAGAGTTAAACAGAAATCACACTGTATTTCACCTTAAGCCTAAAAGAAAACACAGAGAAATGGTAACATCTACTTCAACTGGATGGCAAGATTATGACCAAAGTTTTCTCACATTGATGGTAAATTTTCTGAACTGTCATTTTATCACTTCTATAGTTCAAAATGAATTTCTTTGAAAAAGAAAGTTAGGCTTTATTTATTTCATTTATTCAGTTTCTGGAGTATGTAAATGTCAAGATAATCTCAAATCTTAAAACACTGAAATTTAAATGTTGAGAAACTGAAATTAGAATCATACTGCAATTAGGACCAGATGATGGCATAATGGCTTTGTCGCTGGACTCCCACATGGCCGACCACAGTTTAAGTCCTGGACCTGTAGGCTTGAAGCTCACGCTAAGCACATGTGTGTGCGTGCCCAAAATCCCAAGAGGAGAATGGAGAAGCAGGAATTATGGTCTGGCCATTCCTTCACAGGGTGATGATTTCTTTCTTGCTTTCTGTCTCTTTGTCTCTGTCTCTCCAGGAAGTGCACATGCCCTGTAGCAAAAATCTCTTTAAAAAAATTATACTAAGATTTTCTTATTTTAAATTTTACAAAAATATATTTTTGTTTTTAAAGGGAGAACGGAAGTTACAGAGCCCAGAGGAAAGATGGAATAATCTGGAAGAGCAAAATTCTGATAATTTTTTTATGTTTCTGGATTTTTTATAAGATACAACTGAAGGATGAAAGTTAAACCATCAGCCTAGGCAAAAACCCCTGAGTATCATGGCCATCCCCGTTGGGGGATGATTTCTCACTTTCTTTTCTTTTTTTGGAGAGGTTTTTGCCATAGGGCGTGGGCGCTCACCAGAGAGACAGAGAGATAGAAAGCGAGAAATCACCCCCCAGGGGGGATGGCCACACCACAATCCCTTCTCCTCCATTCTCCTCTCAGGATCTTGGGCACGCACGCACACGCGTCCGGCCTGAGTTTTAAGCCACCGGGTCCAGGACGCGAACCGCGGTCGACTACGTGGGAGTCCAACAACATAGCCATTACGCTAACTGCTGGTCCCCCTGATTTCTCACTTTCTGTCTCTCTCTTTCTTCCTGGCAAGCACACACGCCCTATAGCAAAAACCTCTCCAAATAAATAAATAAAGTAGCCCTAATAAAATTGTCTCACGAGATAATTCAGGGAGTAAGTATTTTGCTTTGGTACTGTATTTAGTAGAACATAATAATACACACTCACTGGAAGGCTTAGGAATTCATTAAAGTAGTCCACGAGGAAATCATCTGTTGCCAAAGAATCTTCCTGCAAAACATAAAAGCAAAATATTAGATGATACTAAGATGTTTTCAAACATTCTTTAATTATGCTACCAACTATAGATTTTAAATCTTTTCTGTCAGTCAACAATGAATCCTCACTCTCAATAGAACATAATGCTTCAATACTAGCAAGAAAAAACAGGAAAATAAAAGGGAACATACTCTTAAAAAGTCTTGTTACTATAGTTAGTTAGAAAACAGAATACTTGGGGACTGGCAGATGGCGTGGTGGCTGAGGCACTGGACTTCCACGTGGCTGACCACAGTTCAAGTCCTAGACCCACCAAAAATCAGAAGAAATAAATAGATAAATAAATGTTTTTTAAAAAGAATTTTAAAAATAATAGAAGAAAACAGAACATATGAAAAATAGAGCACAACACTTAAATGAAACATCAACAAATATGAAATAATACAACACATAGTAAATTTCCATGGACATAGTAAAAATGCATAGTTCATAAAAATAAATGCAGTCTCTGTAGACAGAAATGGTATTGGGATTTAAAATAAAACTGAGAATGCATATTTCTTAAATTTTCCCATGGAGGTGATAACTAAATGAAGAAAAGATTCTACAATCTTCGCCTCAAAATGAGATACAGTTTTCGGGACCAGCAGTTAGCATAATGGCTATGTTGCTGGACTCTCATGTAGTTGACCGTGGTTCGAGTCCCGGACCCAGTGGCTTAAACTCACACCGGGTGCGTGTGTGTGTGCATGCCCAAGATCCCAAGAGGAGAATAGAGGAGGATTGTGGTGTGGCCATCCCCCCCGGGGGGGTGATTTCTCGCTTTCTGTCTCTCTGTCTCTTTCTGTATTTCTGGTGAGCACACGTGCCCTATAGCAAAAAAACCTCTCCAAAAAAAAGAAAGAAAAAAAAAAAAAAAAAGAGATACAGTTTTAGTAAACTGGGCCTGCTTCAATTCCACATGAGAAACGTTGACAATGCACGCACGTGTTCTAAGCATAAAGACTGAATACGTTTTTTTCCTACAACTATCTCATCCACTAAGATAGCTACTTTTAAAACTGGCAAACTTGAAAAGCCACTGCCAAGAACAAAATCTCTTTTCCAAATCATAAAACACCTTATTTTATTAGTAATTGTTTCCATTGTGTCAAAAGCACACCCTGGCACACTCTATTGTATCGTACATGTGTTTATTTTGTTATACATAATTATATCATAATTTTGCAAATCTAGCATGAAAGTTGACATTATGGCACAATGCTATTATTTCCATATGGCTGATTACTTCCTTCTTATACTAGCCAATTTTTAAAAATTTGTCAAAGTATAGAGTTATAAGGAAGAAGCTGTAGTATATTAACACCTACTTTGGAAAACAGATTTTCAGGGTAATTTGTTTAAGTAATTGCAGTATCAGAGTTGAGTCATAAACAATCACTTACAGGGTTTATATCAAGGACCTATTAGAAATCTCAACTGATTAAAACAAAAACAAAGGATTTAATGAATCTACTATCTCGACAGTAGTACCTCAGAAGTATATGCTCAAATAATTTCTGATTGACAAAGGTCTAATAAAGCAGAACAAGGCAGATATCATTTTGACAGAGACCACAAGGCTAATAACTTTTCCAATTTTACCTTTCAAAGTTACTTTAAATTTTCTGAACTGTGTTTTGTGGACTACCTAGTTTCAGTTAACTCCTGAGAAAAAACATCTGAATTCAATAAATATTTGTTAGTATCTTCTAAGTAGAAGGCAACCTATAATAAGAGGAGCCAGATCTTGCAGAATTGGGCCATGTGAACAAAAATCCAGGCTAGCCACGTTGGCACAATGATAATGCAATGCTCAGTGATGCTGAAGCCATATGGGAAGGTCCCGGGTTTGTGCCCCGAGGTCTTCCTGCACATGCTGACAGATGTGTGCATGCCTGTGATCCAGGCTGACTGAAGCTGAAGTGGATCCTCTCAAGGATTCTTCTTCTTCTCTTTCTCATGGGAGAAAAAATTTTAAAAATCCATGCGTGTGAGGAGTGTTTTTTAAAATGAGTAACAAAAGTACAGTGCCTCATTAGGTCTTTGAAAATATACATTTTATATTTAATTATTTAGCCATAATACAGAATGTCTCTCTCTTAAAACCAAGTGGACCTAAATGTTACCCAGAATTTGACAAGCCACATTGTCAGAAATTTCTACATAATTCTCAGATGCATATATTCATTTCCAGATGTCTTACACTTCAAGAGATTAACTCAGTGCTTGCTGTGACAAAGTGCCTACTTTATTTTTCTTTCCTTAATCCATCTCAGACAGAAAACTTTTGTGAAATACAATAAAAATATGGGCCAGCAGATGGCGTAGGAGTTACATTGCTAGACTCCCACATGGCCGATTACGTTTGAGTCCCAGACTCGGTAGCCTGAAACTTATGCCAGGCATGTGTGCAAGCATGCCCAAGATCCTGGAATGAGAATGGAGAAGGGATTTTGACGTGACCATTCCCCGTTGGGGGGGGATGATTTCTCACTTTCCCTCTCACTGCCTCTGTCTGTCTCTCTCTCCCCAGCAAGCACACGTACTCTTAAGGCAAAAACCTCTAAAAATAAACAATAAAAATGAACTACGAGAAAATAGAATACCTGGGGACTGGCAGATGGCACAGTGGCTGAATAAATAAGCATGTGTTCCATTGCAGTCTCTAGTTCAACGTATTCTAATACTTTGTCCTATCCGTAAATAAGCAGTCTTGCTTGTTTGCGCTTAATGGGAACTCGATAAACCCTTTGCCCCCAACCCTCCCAAACACTTCAATTAAAAGTGTATTTTTTTTTTCTTTTTCAAAGGCCTTGATCTGAAGAAGGAGCCCTTGATCTGAAGAAGGAGTTCTGTTACCCTAAGTTTCCACAATCCAGATACTTGGCCATATTATAATGAACTATGTCTTCATACTCAGATTTAGTAACTTCCAAATGACCAATAAACTGGTGATGGTTAATAGTACAATCGAGAAGAAAACAGTTACAATCGATTCCTTCATGACATTATTCCAGGAAGCTGCCTGCAAAATTCGCAACCCAGATTCTCTGCAGAATGATGCAATGGAAGGTAGAAACACTTCCTCAGAACTGAATATACTCTTGAATCCTGTTTTTTTCATGTATTACAGATGTGTCATCTGTGAAAGTGAAGTCAGCTTTTCCATTTTTAGTACAAACTTGTCAACTCTTTTACTGAAAGAGGGTTAAACAAAATAGTCTATTACTGCTTGTTAATTATAAGAGGTAAAAGTTTTCACTTAAAAAATTATTTTGTTGGGACCAGCAGTTGGCATAATGGATATGTCGCTGGACTCCCATGTAGTCGACAGCGGTTCAAGTCCCAGACCCAGTGGCTTAAACTCACACCAGATGTGTGTGCATGCGTGTCCAAGATCCCGAGAGGAGAATGGCGAAGATGGGATTGCAGTGTGACCATCTCCCCTGGGGGGTGATTTCTCACTTTCTGTCATTGTGTTTCTGGCAAGAAACACACACACACAAAAAAAAAACCTCTCCAAAAAAAAAAGAAAGAAAAAGAAAAAAGAATTATTTTGCTACACTCTAAAATCAGATGAACTACAATATCTTCACAACTCTAAAAGATGAAAAATATACAAGGAAAATGAAATAAGACACAGATGACACAGTCCAAGAAAGGATATAACATAATTCATAAAATAATTACAATGGGAAAGCTGTTACCTGTAAGAAGATTCAGAAGAGACTCAAGTGGGGAAAATAGCATTTAAAGTGCATTTCAAATAACTTCAAATTCTACACTTAGAAATAAAAATATGAGGCAATAATGCAGAGCGCAGAGAGAAACACATGAGTAAAAAAGAGAAATCAGAAAGTGAAAAGGACAGCAGTTGCCTCTGGGTAACTGGGGCAAGAATGAACTGGGATGTCACCTAAAGGAACATTCTAGATGTTACATGGGTTTGAATTACACAAGTGCATGTCTTTGTCAAAATTTATCAAATTATACTCAAAGTTTCTGTAATTCACTGTGTATAAAATTCACATCAACAAAATAAACAAACTAATACTGAACAGTACTTCATGATATTCATGAGTGCTTGGGATGAAGCATATGAATGCCTATAACTTACTTTGGAATGCATTTTTTTCTTTTAAGAATTAGTTTTTATTTTATTCATCATTCTTCTTATTATTATTATTATTATTTAATTGGACTGGGGGAACTGAGAAAAAAGTCAGCAGGTCGGGGACTCAAAATGCTGTTGGCCATATGGGAGTCCAGAGTCTTGACCACCATGCCACCTGCCAGAATGTAGAATACGTTTTTTTGTGTTTTTTTTTTAAATAAGATAGGTTGATGGAGAGATGGTGGAATTCTTGTGGGTATTATCAGTGTTTATTGAACAATCCCTTAACTTCTTCATATGCTCAAAATGTTTCATAGAAAGTTGGGGGAGGGATCAGTGGTTGGCACAATGGCTATGTCACTGGACTCCCATGTAGTCGACCGTGGTTTGAGTCCCAGACCCGGTGGCTTAAAACTCATGCCAAGCATGTGTGTCTGTGCCCAAGATCCCGAGAAGAGAATGAAGGAGAAGAGATTGCGGTGTGGCCATCCCCCCGGAGGGTGATTTCCTGCTTTCTGTCTCTCTGTCTGTCTCTGTCTTTCTGGGCAGCACATGCACCCCTATAGCAAAAATCTCTCAAAGAAAAAAAAGTTGGGAGGGGGACTTATGTATAAGGAACCAAGATAAAGTTTCTCTGCATTTTATGGATAATTGTCTTAACATCCTGTGGACTAAATGACAGATCTCAACTCATTCTTGAATAAATTCCTGGTTATCTGATCATCTTCCAAATCACTACCCTGGGATCCCATCCATAAGGGTCAAACCCCTGAGAGCTCTGGTTCACCATAACATGCCAAATCTCGTCTTTCATATCCCTCCTTACCCTCACTAACCTATGGGATGGTCTTCCTAA